TCTATATATATATATATACAGAGCTGGGTAGTAACTGATTGCATGTAATCTGGAGGATTACGTAATTAGCTTTTCATTAAAATTATGAACCCCCTGCAGTTCCTTTATGAACCACAGTTTAGGAAATCTTTACGTAATGTAAAGTTTAATGCACTTCATTATGTTAATAACAACAAATGTAATATATTTTCTTTCTCTTTGCATTGTTATATCAATATGGTACAAGATTATCCTATTTAAATCAATATGATAAGTTAGGTCAAAAGTAATCAAAAAGTAGTCTGATTATATTACCTAAACTGTGTAATGTTATGGATTACGTTACTAAGTACAATTTTTGGAATCAGTAACGGATTACAATTTTTAAGTTATCTACCCAGCTCTGTATATGTATGTACTGTATACATGTGTGTGTGTGTGTGTTATAAATAAGTAATGTTTCATAAATTAAAAAAAAATAATTATTATAGAACATTTTACATTTACAGCCCTGGGATAATTCGAATTTCTGGATTAGGTTTCGGACAAGGTTTCAGTGAGTTTTTAAATTTTAGGTTCACATATGGTTAAAAATAATAAAATAAAATAGAAGTTTTTTTACTCATGTTCCTGGGATAATTACAATTTTTGGGTTTGTTTCAGACCATGTTTTATTAAAATAATAATAAAATACAAAAAAATTATCATATATCACATAAATTGAATATAAATTATTATAAATATTTTATTATAAATATTTTTGCACTCACATTCCTGGGCAAAATCAAACAGTGTTTTGCATTTGCGCCTGGGTGTACCCGCTCAGACGGGAAATAGAAAGACACTGAGTTAATTTTTGGGTTTGGCTCGATCACATTCACAGGCTACATTCAGGTTTTCTGCATACCTGTGCAGTCCTCTAGAGTAAGAAAGACACTCGCCTGTATTCAGTAGTTCTCATTTATGTTAACGTGTGGTCTGCGGCCCATGAGGGAGGGCAAGGCGGGCCGTTTAAAACGCTTCACGAAAGCCAAGCAGCCAAAGAGAAGCCAAAACCCGAAAGCTCAAACAACTGCTGTGCTAATTGTTCTGAGGGTGTGGCGTCTGTGGCTCTGGGGAACGCCAGCCATTTGGTCTGCTCCAAATTTGCCTGTGTGTGTTTTGTGTTTGTGTGTATGTGTTTGTGCGCGCCTGCTTTTTTATGTAATTGAAATGCAAAACATCAGAGACAGCAAACACAAAGCAAATGTTTCACTCCAGGGCTTTGTGTTAACATTCATTTATGTATTAAGTGGATAATAGTTATGTGAAATGAAGTCCAGTGACAACGTTCTGTTCACCCTGAGCTCAAGTATTCGTTCTGCTGGCATCTGGCACTGGGACGGTCCAATCATGTTGCTTGGCAGTCGCCACTCATTATTTAAATGCACTAATACCGCTGAGTGTGTACTATTAAAATGAGTGCTTACATGTGTTTCAGAGAACACACACACAGACACATAGCGCCTATACATGTCTACATAATGTTTATATATGCACACATGTGAAATCTGCATATTTGCATAATTTAAGGTGTTAAGAAAGTGTATATGCACATGCATAACACGTGTATATTGTAAGGTGTGTGTAACGTCCCGCTCGTGTCTCTTATCGCAGCGCCCAGCGCTGCTCCCAGGGGGGTCACCGTAACGGGAAGCGGAGACAATGGCACAGCTATTCTGGTATCCTGGCAACCGCCCCCGGAGGAGGAGCAGAACGGCGTGGTGCAGGAATATAAGGTACAAACCACAGGAAACAGACAGAGAGAGAGAGACAAAGAGAGTATGAAAAAAAAAAACAGAATGAAGGATGGTAGTAGAGGAAGGAAATAGGAAGTGGAAGAGGAAATTATATTTACTGGCTCACACTCCATTCATTTTATGATGTGCTGCTGAATGAATGCTGAGAGTGTAGTGGTTAATGGGTTGATTTTCATTGGGGGGGAATTTAGATGTTGTGAAATGCTGCCACCTAGTGGTTTACGTGGGGTGTTAACACAATGGCCTTCCAGACAGATGTGATCATAGGGAATGTTTTGATATGTTTGTTTCTTTCGATTTGACTTATTTTGTAGGTTGTTGTTTTTTTTTTCATTATTGTATTTATGCCAAAACATTCCTTTATAAGCATTTGAAATTATAAAGTAAAATAAATTATAATTTTGTATTTAAATAAATATTTTATTATATTGTAATATTGTTCTAAATATTATGTTCTATGTAAAATTGACAAATATTTCTAAATATAATATAAAAAATAAAATAAAAATATATCAGCTAGTTTTCGGTCTTTTTGTGTCTGCTTTGTATTTGATACACAATTGTACATGCTAACATATATAATTGCGGCATCAATTTTCTAGCTACCCTGCGTTCCCTCCGTTCTTTCTCTTTATTTTTCATTTTGCGTGTCTTTATGTGCTTTTCATATCCGAACAAGATAACAGAGGCCATGTTTTTTGTTTTGTTTTGTTTGTTTTTTTGACCAAAGTACAATGTTGTATCAGACGTTGTTTTGACTAGGGCTACTTTCAGACAAAATATCTTTTTGACTGGTTAATAATGTGCCAAAACGTTACTTCTAAACATGCTGCATTATATTTCATAAGATAATTACGTTTGCGAATTATGAATACGAAATTTTTTGTAGATGCTTCGTGTCTTTTTGTGTCCCCTTTGTATTTGTAGTCACACACAATCGTACTAGTAATACGCAATACATACTAGCAAATATAATTGCGGCAACTTTTCATGTCCAAACAAGATAACAGAGCCCATCTCATACGATATTCCTCTCAGGCTCTTAAATTTTAATGGCTTTGCGGTGTTTCGGTATTTAGTTCGTAGGTCACTGCTGACGAGAAGAGGTGCGGTTCGAGTCGTTCAGTCCCAGTTAATTTTCCAGGTAAATGTTTTCAGGCAGTTGAAGGAAGGTAGTCAGTAATTTCATGCTTGTTAAATTGGGCGGAGGAGGAATTTTCGCTAATCACTTTTCTTATGCACTTATTTTTTCTACCCCATTGTGCCTCAGGAGAACTTCAGAACTATCAGAACGTCCTCGCTCGTTACCTCACTTTCTCTCTTTCAACCCATAATCCACCTTTGTTTCCCTCTGAAGCCTTCGGGGATGTCTAAATCTGGTTAGCATTTCCAAAAAAGGGGACGTCAGCATAGAAAAACATGTAAAAAAGCATTTTTTTCTATGCGTCAGTGTGTAGAACTCTGCGTAGATCAGTGCGCTGACCTTATAATCGAAGTTAGACTGCCAGTGAGGGCCGATATCACATTTCACCCCGCTGAATGGGCCCCTGCCGGGCCTGTGATTGTGTTAGGGTGAGGAGGGTGGCTGATCCAAGCTCTGGTCGCGCACACACTTTGACGCTCATTTGGACGCCACGGCTGGCTGAACTTCCCGAGAGGAGGAAACAGACCAGGGTTCGGTGCGTGCAATGAAAACAAAGAAAACTGCATTTTCATGTCAGGGAAAATCAGACCTTTGACATAAAGACAGATTGACGGAATGTGGGTACCACAGATAGGGAGCGTTTATTCTAGGTGCTGAATCTTGTTTTCATGACACAGTTCAACTTTAGCGCTACATGATAGTGTCTGGCTTGAAGCAGGAGGGCTGATGGAAACATCCAAATAGATTTACTAACTAGCTTTGAGGAAACTCTAGTTTTATTTTAAGGACAGTCGTGCATTATTTTCAGACGAGAAATATTTGTACATGACAATGATAAAGTTAGCGAAACAATTTATCTATTTGTACAAACACAAAAGTTTGGACAGACTTTACTGAATTGATGCTTCTCATGATCAAAGTATTTTGATAAAAATGTATTTAAACACAGTATTACATTTAAACGTATAATAATAACAATAATAATAATAATTATTATTGTTATTATTATTATTATACATAGGTTTGGAAACACTTGACTGAATCTATGCCTCTTATGATATTAAAAAGATTTTGTTCTAAAGACTTGTTTTAATTCTTAAAATATATAAATGCATAAATTAATAAATAGTAATAATAATATATTTTTACACACAGGTTTGAATAAACTTGACTGAATTTATGGTTCTCATGATCTTCAAAGACTTATTTATGTGCTTGAAATTATTCTTTTTTATTTTACAAAATATTATTATTATTATTATTATTATTATTAGGATCACGTGAAGCATAAATGCAGTCAAGTGTGTCCAAACCTGTGTGTAAAAATATTATTATTATTATTATTATTATTATTATTATTATTAAGATCATGTGAAGCATAAATTCAGTCATGTGTCCAAACCTTTGTGTAAAAAAATACTATTATTGCTATTTATGCTTGAAATGATCTTAATAATAATGCTAATGCTAATAATAATAATAATATGAAATAAAAAATAAAATGATTTTTTCCCCTTTTTTTATTATTTTTTTATTATGCAAACAGATATACAATTTACCGTTGACAAATCAAATACAAAATAACCAAGGTCAACAAAACAGACATGACAACCAACATAATTTGTTTGTGTGTGTGTGTGTGTGTACGCGCACGCGTGTGTGTGTGTGTGTGTGTGTGTGTGCGTGCGTGTGTGTGTGTGTGTGCGTGCGTGCGTGTGTGTGTGCGTGCGTGTGTGTGTGTGTACGCGCATGTGTGCACGTGTGTGTGTGTGTGTGTGTGTGCGTGTGTGTGTGTGTGTGTGTGCGTGTGCGTGCGTGTGTGTAAGTGTGGCTGGGTGTGAGGGGTGGAAGTATATAAACAAAGGAACATGTAAAAAAGTACAACAGACATAACAATAGTAGAAAACCGTAATAGTAATGATGACAATAGTAATAATCATGATAATAGCATTAATAACAAAAATCAGAGGATGGAGGATGAAGAAGGTGCTAAATAATAATGGTAATAGTAAAAGCAATAATAATAATACAAAAATATATGAATAATCAAAAAAATAATTAAATTATAATAATAATAATGAACTCAATTCATCAGAAATTAGGGGAAAGTTGGAGGATGTGGAAGATGACAAATAGCAAAATAATAGTATTAATTAGTAATTAGTAATAGTAGCAATAATAACAATATTAACAATAAACTTACCATGATAATAGCATTAATAACAAAAATCAGAGGATGGAGGATGAAGAAGGTGCTAAATAATAATGGTAATAGTAAAAGCAATAATAATAATACAAAAATATATGAATAATCAAAAAAATAATTAAATTATAATAATAATAATGAACTCAATTCATCAGAAATTAGGGGAAAGTTGGAGGATGTGGAAGATGACAAATAGCAAAATAATAGTATTAATTAGTAATTAGTAATAGTAGCAATAATAACAATATTAACAATAAACTTACTTAGATGGGCAAGTCGTGGCCTAATGGTTAGAGAGTTGGACTCGTAACCTAAAGGTTGTGGGTTCGAGTCTCGTACCGGCAGGGATTGTAGGTGGGGGGGAGTGAATGTACAGCGCTCTCTCCACCTTCAGTACCACGACTGAGGTGCCCTTGAGCAAGGCACCGAACCCCCAACTGCTCCCCGGGCGCCGCAGCATAAATGGCTGCCCACTGCTCCGGGTGTGTGTTCACGGTGTGTGTGTGTTCACTGCTGTGTGTGTGCACTTTGGATGGGAAAATGCAGAGCACTAATTCCGAGTATGGGTCACCATACTTGGCCACATGTCACGTCACTTTAGATTTGTGTTATTTCATAGTTAAAGAGTTTTAAAGACTTGAAGACTATTAAAATGTCCAAAATAGTAATCACAAAGTAGGTGTGCCCAAACATTTGACTGGTTAAATTGCTTGTAAGTTGTATCCCTTAAAAAGGTTCACTCTTTCGGAAAATACTTGTTATTCAACATAAATATTTTTTATTAAGTACAAGCTAACCGCTTGTCTCCTATCATGTTTTCTTTACTTCCCCCCTCAGATCTGGTGTCTGGGTAATGAAAGCCGATATCACATTAACCGCACGGTGGATGGATCCACACTCTCGGTTCTGATTCCCGGCCTGCTCGCAGGGGTCACGTACAGGGTGGAGGTGGCAGCCAGCACAGGGGCCGGTCCCGGGGTCAAGAGCGAGGCTACGTCCTTCCAGCTGGGTGAGTCGGACCGGGATGTTATTCTGGTTAACCGAGACGCTCGACTCTGCCGGACCGCTGTTATTCATCACTGGCAGCTAAAGAAGAGCACAATATGAATGGTTGATTCATCTGATAACGGGTTACAGAAACATAACAAACACTCTGGTAAGCAGCTACCAGCTCGTTTTAACACCCGGCTGTGGAAAGGTTTGTGAGAATGGCCATTATTTAAGGCCTGCTCTTTAGAAAACGTACCGTCTATGCTTGTGAATGGCACGGTTGTAACTTGCCTTGTGGTTAGCCATCAAAAAGTATGTAATTTACAAAAACAGCCTTATCGGAGTCCTCATTCTCATCCGAGAATAAAGGAGATGTCAAGTAAAGTGCAGTTTACTTTAGTGCTGCAAAGCCTTTAATTGCTTTAAGTTTATTTCTCCATTAACTTACCAGCTTTAACTTGTTCAGCCTCGAGACATCGGTGGCAGCGGTTAAACTGCACTGAATGGAAGTGATTGTGATGCAGCCTGGTGTTGTGCCAGTGGATACAGGTGGATAATAGGCCATCCGGTTATGCAAATCTGTTTTTAATAAGATGCCAATCACTGCTGTCAGAAACTAGTTTATAGTCAGTCGTTTGACAGAAAGAGATTAAATGCTCTTTTGAAACCTTGTTGGATGCACAAAGAGAGACTCATACAGTAAAGTACACGAAGAAAAACAGATGACTTGATATAAAGCAACTGTTGTTTTAGTGCTGATTTTTAGTAGTAAGCAGTATATTGTGCATGTAAACACACACTATGTTGGTCTACATGACTGTTGTGACGAAGGGAGAGGTTTTTGTATTTGTTACTTAAAAAGTAAATAGAAAACTAATGTGCACTATTTGAAAAAGTAACTTGGGTATTACAGGGTAAATTCAGAATTTAGGTAATTTACATTTACATGTAAGGCTATCAAACGTTTAATCGCGATTAATCGCATCCAAAATAAACGTTTTTGTTTACATAATATATGTGTGTGTGCTGTGTATATTTATTATGTATATATAAATACATACACATGCATGTATATATTTAAGATCAATATGTTATGTTTATATATTAAATATATTTATATATAATATAAATATATACATGTAAATATTTTCAAAATATATACTGTATGTGTGTGTATTTACGTATATATATATACCCAATAAATATACACAGTACACACATGTAAACAAAACTGTTTATTTTGGATGCGATTAATCGCGATTAATCGTTTGACAGCAC